ACAACTTTTCAACAACAATAGTAACAATTTAATCAGTATGTTAGTTCAGCTCACAATCGGTAATTTCGACTACAATTTTTCAACCGGAGTTAGAAAAGTTAGTTCAAACAATTTAGTAATTAATCAAGAAATTTAAACAATTCAAAAATTTTACGAAAAGCTAATAAAAAAATAGGAAGGCTGAATAGGATTGAAAAGATATACTGCTGTTCAGTTTGACACCTTGAAATTACTCTGGATAGTGGTCAGAGAATACCTGGTAGCTTCCACACGGATTTACTCCTGTCTCAAGACTGGTAGAACAGGCTTCCTTCACAGATATACCAGCAAATATAACTGCTAGGTTGATGATCTAACTGGCAAGGCTCTAGGACTGGCTTTTCAGGCTACCTTTAGAATATCGACATCAGGTTTCTCTTCCCCAAAAACCGTGAGCTGGTGATTGAGCTGCACACAGGTAGTTGGTCTTCTTCAATTGTGGTTGTGTCTCACAAGGTGTGTCATGAAATAAACGTGAAGCAGTATGAGCAAGATTCAGAGGAGGGATGCAGGAATGGAAGAAATAATCCAAAGTGATACAACTAACTATGGATCCAATAATTAGAAATTTTTATACGAACTTTATATAATATGAAATGATAATGTATATAAGGAAATATATAATCTACAAGAAAATAAATTTATAGAATCGATTCTATGAATTATATCCTACGATTTTTACAAATTTTAACTGAGAATAAAAAAATAGTTTGACTTATTGAAATTTATTAAGTGATTGAAATTGCTGTGGTAGGAAAAATTGTACTCTCAATATTTTTTTCCAATTGAAAGAAAATGACTGATAATAGTAAAAATTACTGATGATACAAAATTACTGATTAGGTACAAATTATGACCATGGACTGAAATGGTACTAATTAAGTATATCTGTTACTTAAACAAATAATGTTCAAAGGAAACTTTCCATGAAATAGCAAAAATTGTCTTAAATCAATTGGATAAAATTGATATCACTCAATATGTGAAGATTCTATTCGAAAGAGTGAAGTACTTCTTCAAAAGTGAGGAAAATAACATCAAATAATTGATAGTAAATTTGAAAATAATTCCAGATAACGAGGCACTTCTAGAAAAATGAGGAAATTATATCAAGAAAATTGATAACTATTGAGAAAAATTCACATAAAATATTCCACAAAAAAATAACTGATCTCAAGACAATTTCTGGTATTATTTCATATGAAAATTATATTGAAAAGATAAAGAAATATTTCTCAAGGATAGCTCAAGAAAATCGGTTAAGGGGTTTGCACTTTGAGACAGGTGACCATTACATAGCTGTTAACTTTATCTTGCAGTGTCTCGAAATGTGATAACACAGAGGAACCACCAAGTACAGTAGTGAATCAGGGTTCTAGCAGAAAACACCACCGGAATGAATTTCAAGCCCTTCAAATGTGGCAATTAGCCAGTACCATAACCAACAAATAGGCAGTAACTGAACTTGAAACTCTAGAGGCTGATGCTCACTACCAAAACACCGACTCAGGCCTGCAAAGGACAGTTTCCTGACAATATAAAAAAATGTGAATAATTCACCAAAAAAACTCTATGAAATATGCTATACCGAAGAATGTGAATACAACTTAATCAAAGATATTATACCAACTTTAAAAAATTCACCAGTACAAGAGAAGAACTATAATAAATGTATGTGAATGCCCCAATTATATGAACTCTGTGAATACTTCACCAAGAAAACTATATGAACCCTAGTATATGAAATCAGTGAAAAGTGCAAGTTATGCCAACAGGACGGACAACTACGTCTGTGGTGTAGGAGAGTGGAGTCTCACTTATGGATATGATCCGTGAAATTGTTTGATCTACTAATGATTGCTTATTAAATTGAAAATCCACTCACCTTACACTCAGCGTAGTACTTCAATAGGTCCTTTCCTGGTTACACACTCCTTGGGTTCAAATTTTCCAGAATCTCTCCTTGGATTATAATCCCTTCTGTCTGATAACACTTCAAATAACACGTGTGTAGTACTTCAGATAGCACGTGGATAGTACCTCAGAGAGCACGTGGATAGTACCTCAGAGAGCACGTGGATAGCACTGAAAAATGATCACAACGACAGAACAAATCTATGGCACAGTAGCTGTCTCAAAAAAATTGCAATGATATCAGAAAAAAATGGTTTTATTCAGTCCCAGAAACCTCTATCATCATATAAATGAAAAGCACGTGCAACTAATAAATTTAATGTTGAGTGAAAGCCAGGCAGGAATGATATTTAATTCAAAAAGTTATGTGCAAGGAACATTCTGTGAACTCAATGATCTTTACTCAAATCATAAGTCAGACATGTGTGACCATGCCTGATCTGGAAAATATTCAATTTCTCCAAAAATAGCAGGAAAAGAAAAAAATAACTACCAAATTTGCTACTATACGAGAAACTGCAAACAATTAACAGCTAGTATTCAGACAATGATTGAAAATTAAGAAAGTGCAAAAGGGAATGGTTTTACCTGTCTCAAGTCACAAAACCTTCAAGTCAACTCTTCCAGTCGAGAGCCAAATCAAGAGAGAGCTAAAATCTTCAATTCTCCATCATATCGATTCCAAAAAAAAAAAGGTTTTTTTTATAAATTTGATGTTTACTTTTTCCAAATATCATACTCTATCTGATGAAGTGAGATGGACAATCCTCCGTTTACCAACCCAACAAATAAATTATGTTTTGACACAGAACACGAAACCAAGATGATAGATTGACCACGGAACATAAATCAAACTCATGGAACTTGCGGATATTTCAAGCAGTGGGAGTCATTCGCCTGACAAACGTTAGCAATCTTGAAATTGGAGATGATACTTACGGTGTCACAGAACTATTGGCGAGAGTAAATGATATTTGTGGGTACTGCACTACATGAAACGCACTATCGGACTAGAGGCACAGAATACAGAGATGTGATTAGTAGAAATGTAACGACAAATTCAATTTTTCGTTACAGAATGCAGAAGTTACAGGGGTGGCCCGATAACCTGTGTCACCCGGTATACCTTAGGACAAGATCCACAGTTGAGTTTGTGTACCCCTGATTTTTCGAATTCAAAAGTTTTGTCTTTATTATTCTTGATGAACCTTCCCAACGTGTTATTTGTTCTATATGCTACTTCAAAGTACTGTCTATTGATGTTTGATATTATTACTACTTGAATTTGGACATCAAAGACTGTTTTTGTAGAAACTGAATGAGTATACCAACAAACGGTTTATTTGCAAACAATTCTGCTCTATGCAAATTGAAGCCAATTCAACGTTTGTGTGTCCCTTTCTTTGTCCTCTAGTTCATATCAAATAAACTGCTATCGCAAATATTGTGGTGCTATTATAGCTCACAACTGAAACAAAAATACTTCTGGTATTTCAGCCTCATGTTTGATGTAGGTACCTACATATTTGATTGGGAAATTCAATCGAGTTTCCAATCGAAAAACGTTTACACAGTTGAGATGAACTATTGGAAACAATATATATTTATATATAACGGAGTCAACAGGCAGCTGGCTATACAGGGTGTCCTATAATTAGCTTGCCAAACATCGACAGTTATAATGTCACGACTAAATTTTTTTTTTATCTGGTTCCCACGAAAAGGGATATCCTGTGATGTTCAGAGAACATCGTGACAACCAAGGGAAATAAGGTAGGAAGAAAAGTTTCAATGAACATGAGGTGATGACTGTCCCCTAAGGGAGCCAAAAATGAAATCATTCCAAAATTCTAGTTGGAAATGTATGATACAGGGTGGGACTACATTGAATATTGTTCCAACATTTTTTATGCATATTTTTCGACAAATGAATCTCGGAACATGAAAATCGACGTCTCTGTACAGCAAAAAAGAGCTGTTATTTCGTATCGATAAAATGTATCATTTTCGAGTGAAATCGTTACTGTTACATCTCACTTGGTATGCAGAACATTGCAATAAATCGTTGTAAACATGGAAAAAAAAAATGAGATATGAGAAGTTTTATGTCAGTATTCCACCATTTTACGCTCCTCTTTGACATTTTTTCGTGAAAAGAAAGTAGTTGATTCTTTTATAACCACCATGATTTGAAAATTGGCGACGTTATGCATGAAATGTGATATGTAACAATATTTTTGAATCGATTCAACTCAAAAATGATACATCTGATCGATATAAAACAAAAGCATCTGTAGAGAGGTGAGGATCTTTATGACCCAAGATTCAATTCTCAAAAAATATGCATACAAAAAATTTGAGCAATATTTAATGTAGTCCCACCCTGTATCATACACTCCTGAATGGAATTTTCGAATTATTTTATTTTTATTGAATTGGGCATGGAAACCTAATTTCTTGTACCGAATTGCATGCTCTAATAATATGGCGTTTCGACAATATTCAAGAAATATCATCTTCAGGAGTCTCCTTTGAAGGCTCCTTATCAGAAGACATTTATCGTCTCATGTTCATTGAGACTTCCCTCTCTATTTTTGATCGTAGAAGCCGCAGGTGAAGCTTGGCAAGCTAATTTCAGGAGACATACTCATATAAATATATATATAGTATCAAGATAGTAATTGACGATTATTTATTCAACTTGGATATGGGTGAATGAAAGATGATACGACTGTAGATAATTAAACAGAAAATTTATCAAAGAATGTACCCAAAATACATTCCTCTGTTATAATAGCTGAATTTTGATGATGCCGTCGCATCAAAGATATCGTGGAGAAAAGTATATATATTTTATTCTAGATGTTCAATCTTCACAATCATCATTTTCAACCATATGTCGTAGAGATAATTGAAGGGTTGATTAGTTTATACTGATACGTATTCAGTGAATCACTTGTGACATCGTGTGATTATAATTTCACATATGAGATCATTGACTAGAGCAGTTGTATCAAAATCATGTCATGAGATACCTTCGTACTCACCGGAACATCCTTGAACACTTCCGGATCAATCTCCTCCAACTCGTTCCCGCTCAATTTCAACACATGCAACTTCACGAGTTTCAAAAATATCCTCGGCACCAATTCACTCAACAAGTTACTCCTCAAAGTCAGCACTCGCAACTCCGTGAGATGTTTGAATGCGCCCACCTGGATCCTTCCGATCCTGTTACCGTCCAAATTCAGTTCCACCAGGTTCACTAGCCCTCGGAAGTTGTGGTCCATAACCGAGGTGATGTTGTTGAGAGACAGGTCTAAGAAACGTAGAGTAGGAACTCCCCAGAACGGATGGGTCCCAATCTGCAGGACGTTCGAACGTCTGATCACAAGCTCCTCCAGCTTCTTGAATTGCTGGAATACTGGGCTAATGGACAGAGAATTAGGAAGGTCCTCAGGCGCGGATATCTCCAAAATCTCCATGCTTGCGTCCATCTCGGACGTTGGTATGTGGTGCATGCCTCCCTTAGGACAGGCTGTTTTCCTTTGGCCCTTTTCGGTCTGTTTGCAGGAGCAGAATTCAGGGCAGAGCGAATGGGTCGAACATAACCACAGTATTATCAGACTCGGCGATAGGAGGTGCCAGGATAAGAGCATCCTGAAATGAAAAAGGATTGCGAGTTAATTGATGTTTGCGCTGGAGGGCTGATCGCCTGAATTTATCATTGGGAGGGTGATATAGGTACCCACATCTCGAAAGAACGAAGGTGATGAGGGGAAAGCTTAATTGAATTATCAGGCAAAATTGATGTAATGTGATCATATGAGGTTCGAAAATAAATGGAGAGGTGTAAGGCGAATACGTTAATATATTCCTCAATTACTGATATGGGTTGAATCAAAAAAATATCAGAACATCATCGTGATAGGTATTATAGAATATTCAGTGGTTTTATACATGTTTTTGAAAATCGTATTCTTGAGATTTGAGCTATAATTATATGTAGTAAACCAAAACTAGAATCATGAGTTGGTCGACAGTTTTTTAGTTGAAGTAATTAACTCCGATTTCAATCCTGAGAACGAAAACTTACCCCTTCATCCTATACTTCAACATTTATTGGTTCTCAATTCTGACATGAATTCATATAGCCTTTATTATTCTTCAGTTGTTTTCAGTTCATGGAAAAAGGTTACATCACCGAGCATATTTTTTTATCAATACTATTGTCAAATGATCTATGATTGAAACTACACAGGAAGAAATCATCTGGTTAGTATAGGCACAACCAGTTATCTTGTAACGTGAAAAATTGTTTTCCTACTCACATAACTAAAATGGCATTTAGCGTACGGATATGTACCACGCTAAATGTCGATTAATCACGGATTGACGATCTGTGATTTATTCAAAATATTAAACACGTTGCCATGGCAACACGATTTCTTAAACACATTACCATGGCAACACAGTTCATTAAACACAGCTTCAGTAATTTGAGACATGTCTGACCTGTCAATTGTATTAACTGTCAACTGTTATTTTCGAATTTTGTATAAGAAATATTCAAACAATTTCCCTTTGTATCAGAATTCTTCATCAAAAATATATGCGAAATGTAGACGAAAGTGAAATCGCAGAGAATGTCCTGGTACTTGCATAACTCCAATAAATGTAAAAATGAAGCATCCATCTTTGAGAACAATTTATTTATTCTGCGTTAAGCATGACAATAAACGTGAAACAAAGGTTAGTTAGCAATGGACTGGACACATCTACAAACAATATCACTTATACGTGTCTCGCTGGTTGCATGCAGTTGCATGCATTATGTTCTCAATTCCCATTCCTTTCGGATTATTTTGTAGGTTAGCAGGAATCGTAGGTATAAGAATGTAATTTTCGGAGTTCGTAGAAAAAGAAAATTATGCAACGCGTTTATATAAACTCTTCTAGACACTCGTTTATTAAACACTCGCTCCGCTCTGCTCCGCTCGTACTTGAAATACTCGTTACTAAAAGGACGTTTATAACACTTGATACATGATATACTATTATGTGTAGAATAGCCTGAATATCATTATGGTAACAACCAGAATATTGTTACAGTAACATTCGTACATTTTTCACCGTGAAACAACTTGGTTTAATTGAACAACAATGGTAATGTTCTCATCTTGACATGTCTGCAATACAATAGTCCAAGAGCAGTCTGAAAATTTCGACCGTCATTTGAAAACGAAATGATACAATATGCTCCAAAGTCATATAAAAATATTGTATTATAAGATTGTGAATGGAGGCATCGTAGATAGACAAAATATCAACACTCAGACACATTATTATTTACTCAGGACCGTTTGTACAAAGATGACCGTTTATAAAAATACAACATCGACAAGTGATTCGTTCTGATGCTACGATGCTAATGACTAAACCTGCTTCAATCTCCGATCACACGATTATTACGAATACCATTTACGGGGTGATTTGAACATCGTCGATAACAGTATTTTATCGAATGGCACCTGATACCATGGAATTCGAAACTTTTTTCTCGTCATAGAACCAGCTTCATCGAAAGGCTCTATAATATCATTAGAAATTTAAACAGAAACCTTGAGTTTGATTATGCCAACTAATCTTGGTAGTTTATGCTCTCAAGTAGAACATTTCATTATGTAATATTTTCAAACAATGTAATTGGTAGAGGATAATGGTGATTTTATCTCCTTGTTGAACAATTCAAGGGTGAGAGCAGAGCGATATAAAAAAGGATTTTTTGTCCTAATTAATGTTCGCCAAGGATTGTTTATGTGGCCCATTTGACTTCGAAAGGGCTGAATGTAATTTGTGAGATCTTGTGCCGGCGTCCATTAATTTCAATTTAGGCTTTCCTATATCATGGGCAAGCAGGAAATACTGAAAGGGTTATTACTATTTCGAACACTTTTGAATATAATGAATATAATGAATTTCATTCTATTTGAATTCATATTTTTTTACTTGAGAATTTCGTTTGAATAATGGGCGTTACACTGAGCAGTAGGTAGAGGGTTAAAATCGAGGTAAGGCAACAGTAGTAACAGGTAGGGCGTAAGATCTGATCTGGGCAATCTTCCGAATTCATCAGTCAGTAAATCTACCTATAATTTGTTCCGGAATCAGAAACTCGACTGAAAAAGACAGTTCTACAGAGTGAACTTACTATCCATTCTGAATATTTTCGGATCATATTTCTGCTCAAATTACTGACCACCAATATGGATAAGAATTTTAGGACATGAAATTGGCTGTTGTTATCAGTTTATGATGATTGAAGAAAATTGTTGAAATCGAGAAATTCACACATTCTGATGCTTCATGAATTACAAAACTGGTTTGCTCGATTTGTTATAGATTTCCCATCATGGAAAACCTTCTTAAATAATGAGTTGCTGGTCCACGTACTAATTATATCATTCCATATTCGTTTCATTCCGGAAATAATCAATATAAAAAAATAAAAACTGATGAGTAGTGACAGCTCACTGATGCTGTATAGAATTTGTTCCGAATTTCAGCACAAGTAATCTCACGGTGAATACTGAACTACATATTTAGGAACAGCAGAATTTCAGCCGACAGTAGAATTCGGACCACAGAGTCCTGATGGTCTTCTGGTGAAACGATTTTCGTCGTACTTGACACTAGATTTGTAAGTGTGGGTGGGAGTAGAGTGGCTAGATTGAATAAAGTGGCGACAATAGACCTCAACATGGCTGCCGTTTCCGGGATGTCATTCGAGGTCATGTGATTGAATAGCTGAAAATCGGAAGAGTATCTCACACAATGAACTCAATATGAACACCTGGAAGGGAGACGGCCGTTCTCTCGAATAGCACAAAGTGTGTCAGGGGCAGCTGAAACAAAGAAATCATGATTTACGGTAACCTGTCTCTTTCCAACGCGTGTTGTTTAATGGTGGATTGGTGTTTACGTTCTCTTTTATTTAATAATTAAAGAACTTCAGATTTTTTTCTCACATCTAAACAGGCAAGAAAGTGAAGACATACGTTCATTGTCTTTGGTTATGTGGAATACCTATTCATTTGGCGTGTTTTGTTTTATAAAAAGGACTGAATTTGTGGGTTTGAACACTGTGAACTGATTGTTGCGAAGGTTTTGATGAACAATGGTGATTTATTGTGTCGATTTTGGATGTAAGAACGAGCAAGACAAAAGGAAATTGTCATTCCATGGGTAAGTTGAATATTGTTCAGATTTTCGGAAAATATAGTTCTTGAAATGATCATCAGTTAGGTTTACAATGTTTCCATCAGTCCCAGAATATGTTCAAAACCTATACCTATATCATTTGTCAAAGCTAAATACTTCCATGACTTTTCCATAAACCTATTAAGTAGTATTATTTGTTGCAGTTTTCTATTCAGACATGCTTGAATTATGGATTGAGGCAGTTCGTAGAGAGAGTTTTGGACTCCATCTATAGAATCAGCAAGCTTTGTGGAGAGCATTTCCTGCCAACTGATTATTTATTCAAACATACCAGGTACTGCTAGGTTATCGAAACCAGATGCTGTACCTAGTATATTTCCATTACCTAAGCATTTGTTACCAAAAAATGTTGATCCTGCAAGGAAAATGAAAAAACTCATAAGTACCTAGTTGATTAATAATAAAAAAGTATGTTTGCACCTCTTTAAAATAAAAGAACTAGCTAGTAGGTAATTTATTCTCAGGATGCATCCGTGGACGTTCATAACTTGGGTCCTGAGGAAGATGTTTCTCATATTATGGACTTTGACATTGACTTTTGACTTCCAGCACCCAAGTTTCAAAGTTCATCAATAGAGAAACCCAAACTGTTCCATTGGAGAAGGATATTGTATTCAGAATTGTATTGTTTCAAATTGTAATAGGGATATGTTCAGGAGCCTATTGAAATTATGCTCAAAATGGACCTTAGGTACTCAATACCATTCAAGAACTCAGTTTCAAATTTTTCCTATCGTTTTTCATCATCTTCTGATAGTGCTGAGACATTGTGCTTCGCTCACCCTGTACAGTATATTGTGACATTTGAATGAAAATATATAATTTCAATTTTGTATTCATTTCTCTCTCAATATTCGTTTGTTTCGTCTTGATATAAACAATTGAATTTCAGACGATGACGTGGGATTCTCATATTGAATGTTAGACGGCGTGATCACTAGTGCAGCTCAAGGTAGGTAGAACTTATGATCAACATCATGTTCTTCTAACCTTGATGCGGCTAAATCGCAAAATGTATTCCCAATTCTCATTGGTCACAATTCGGTCACAATTGTCACATTTCAAATTGAGTCACGTGATATTCAATTTGAAATTATTTCAAAACTTGATTTATCCGTTGATGCCTTTAATTCTGATGGTACGGCACCACTAAACTTGACGAGATTCACCCACGCCATGTTATGTTTATGGAAGCAGGTGAAAATCAAGGAATTGTAAAACAGGAAAGGATTGAAGTGCGTACACCAGCGGTTTATTTCATCAATGATTTCAGTTATGAGTGTGCACATAGGCAGTAATTAGGAATTTCCGATTTGTACCTTTCATACTCCATCCTACTATCCTCAACTCTGTTTCAACTTTGTCATGATAGGCGCTCT